TTGACCAACCCCCTTCAACTTTCTCATAAAATTTTACAGCTTGAATTTCAAAATACATGTATTATGGTTGTCAAATCACTTCTGAGCATAAAGAGATGTGGATGTGGATTTCGCTGGATTCCGGACTTAATGTGGTGCCATGTTAATCGGGATCGCAACCGCTGCTGCGTCCAACCGCGTTGTTTTCATGCTTTTTGTCGGTTTTTCGCTGGTTGGGTCACTCGGTCAGGTCATGAAACGATCGATCGACCATTTAGCCACATTAGGACGCTCTGTGACCGAACTCACGCTGAGAAGCACATCCACAACGTCTAATTCTTTTGCCGATGAATTTCTTTCGAAGAACCCAGTAAGATTGTAGGTGATAGTGCACTACTTGGTTCCAGTCCTACCCGTTTGCGAAGTGCAACGAGGTATTCTGGGGCGCGTACAAATAACTACTCCAAGACTAGGCAGTTGTGGGACCAAACCTGGTCATGGAGTTTGGGATACCGAACGTCAAATTCACTTAGCTAGCTATTCGGACAGTTTTGGGATGGTTGTGTTGTCAAAGAAGTCAGTAATGTGAATTCTAAAGTCCGCCTTGTTTTTATTTAACTCGGGCACCTTTGGAGGTAAATGGTAGTGTTTTCAACACCGCACTGCGGTTAACACTGCATTTTTTCTGAAACGTGACCATTACGCGTTTACTAGCAAAAGAAGCTGTTCGACCTTGATCATCTTTATTTTTCATGAAATAAGAAATGTGTCGCAGTCACACCGCGATGCTGAATTGTGACAAGTGGTTTTAAATTACAAATTGAGTGCTCGCCCGCTTGATCTGATATGACCGAAATAGCTGCGTCGACTAGGTTATCCCTTCCTATGTCACCTGATCTAATGGCCCGTCCGGTGGCGTTAGCTGCAGCTCCGTCTATCCGAAGAGGACGTAGGGCGGACAAACGATTACCTATAGGCGACGCGTGAAGAGTTTAACAACGGGCCTCAACCAGGTATGTTAACACCTAATGTGAAGTTGGGATATCACGGATTCACTCCATCTCTGGACGGAAATCCTTACGGATATGACGGAGTTAGGAAACTTTCGTTTCTATTCGGTTGTCTTCAACTTTTAGCCCACAATTTCCCCTAAAAGTTTTCGTCCGAAATTACGCACCTCTACTAGTTGCCCTTTTCGTCTTGCAGTATCGACGTAGAATCCCGTGTTTTGAAGACTTATTGTGCCACTCACTGAAACATTGAAGTGTGACTACCAGCTCATATCGCTTGCTGTTTGCTTTTTTACTCCGGATTTTCGCACTGACTTCTGGATCACACAAAGAGCTGTGTTACCAACGGACTCACTGTAGCCGAACGCTTGCAGATAAATATATTGAAGGGCAGTGGTCTTACTATTTCCTAAACTTCTTAGTGGTACAGACCTCCTGGTAGCACCGTAGTTTAGACTTCTGCTTATTCTTCAACGTGTACATTGGAAACAAGCCAGTTTAACTCATTTCTGCTATCTTCACATGTGTCTATCGTGACTATATTCGTGGTTAATGAGTGTGTTTCTATAATGCGTAATGTGATCAGTGCGATCAGTGCATGCGGATAAACGATAGTACTGTACTGCTGTTTCATACTGAAGATTCATCGACAGGTTCTGGAACCCGATATCGATGATGCTGATGATCGTGATATCTGATGTCGTCGGTTAGAAAGCCAAAAGTGGGAAGCACACAAGTTTGTCATTGTTTTGACTTCAGCCTATACAAGCTTCATTCCCGTGGAAGATGGTTCACAGATGGTTGACGAAACCGACGAGAGGAACATTGTTCCCGTGTTATTTTGGGGATTCACTTTTACGAGTTTTGAGTTCCTGTTTTCCTGTGTTTTGTGTCTACTGTTATTTTTGGGCATGTTTGTCATTGGAGAAGTCGAAAAACATCAATGGTCTGAGGCGGCATCAGCTTATATCGTTGACCCCCATGCATCTTCAGTCCGAACATCAAGAATGCCAAGTATGATCACGCCAGCGACGGAAAATTGAACCATGATCATATGTGTTGCCAGTTACAGTTTGGACCTTTCCCACTTATTTCTGCTGAGGGTTTCATGTAAAAGCGTATCTATCTCTCTTCTGTCCAATGTGGAACACAATACACAAACGGTTGACAATCTTCAGTGTGACATGACTAGCCATACTTGAGGAGAGACAGAACCGACTCGCTGCCAACGTGAACCTGTCGTCCAACGAAGCTAGGGTTTTGCCTCTGGCCGTGCTTTGTTACATAGACAAAGCTTGAACAACGAGTTGGCCTTTCCTTTATTCGCTTGTGGCTTAACAACGTTAAAAATCCCCCCCGCGTCTGCCGGTGAGTCATCGGATAAACCAACCGAAGACGGACCAGTCCCACCGAAGGGAGACGATTGGATAATGGCCACATGGGGAAATTTATGGTCCTCATTTGCATCACTTGGGTTACTCCGTATTTCACAGAGCGCCAGTTAGTGACCTATTAGTGTTCAGAAAGATGAAAAGAGATTGTGGCTGATGGGAAATCCTATTGAACGGAAACGTCGTATGTTCGTAGTTATATGGACTATGGAATGAAATTGCTGGTTATTGGTGATTTTGCACTGAACCTGTATATCCATGTTAAGTGCCTTCATAACCATTATAGGAAAGCTCTCGCATAGTTTTTGTTTTATGCAAGGGATAAATTTTTCTGACTCATTGTTGTATTGAAAAAGTGCTACAGTGTCACATTTTGGGTTCAGTGTTCTATCTGAAGCTGAAATATAGCACCTGTGAAGATATGAAGGGGCAAAAAAGTAATGTATGCTGAAGTAATGTTAATTGGACGTGGGTAGCGAAATTTATGCACCCAAAACACCGACTTGAGTAGCCGATTTACGAGGAACGTAATCGTTACCTGATATTTACAACGTCCTTACTGCACGTAGTCTCAACTATGATGAGCTCTGTATCAAATTTGGGTTTTGTATAATCTTGTACAGCCGCTGAGTGTTGTATCTCTCTCATGTTGTAATGAAACTGTATCGCAACGGATTGTTCCTATCTCCACTTGAGAGGACTACGTAGCAGGAATATACACTTGCAGTTGAGGAATTCAAGGTTTGAGCCCGTTCCTGTTTTATGGACCTTGCATTTTGTCAAGAACTGGTAGTTAAAAGTGGAAACAGTCATTCCAACGAACTATTGCCCCCATGCATAGGTTTACTTGTGTCATTATGCTGGGGTACGGAACTTGGCAAAACGCAAATGTAATAAGCTATGCAGAGCACACTCTAGTCATTCTGTGGACCAGTTAGTATGCTCCTTTTCCTGAATTCTTTTGTTATTTCACGGGTTTGTAAATTCTGTTTGGTTGCTGATTGTCCACACTACACGCTATACGTGCTTCTCCTGTTTACCTCACCTTGTTTTTGAGACACAGGCACTCACGTAAACGGGAATAATGTTTCATTCATAGTTACTATGACAACAGACTAGCACTTTCAGGAGTAATGCGGTCGGGCTTTTGTAATGCGCTCTGAGTGTTCCGCTCAAGTTTATGACTGGCGTTGATTACTTTCCTGTTTCTTATGCTGCTTTTTCACAGATGCATTTAAGTTTAACGTTTGACCGGACAGGGACTGGTCACTCCCATTTCCTCTGCGATTTCTAGGTTTAAATGTGGTCAGATACGCGGTAGATGTCGATTGCCTACTCCTGAGGCCCGGAAGAAATTTCGGCATACATCAGCCCTCCCGATCATCGGCGGCCTAATTAGAGTGACAAAGTCAGAGGGTTGAGATTCAGGTCGGAACTTTGTGTTGATATAGCCAAAAGCACGCAACAAGTGTTGGGAACGCCTCGAACCGACTGACATGTCATTTACCGATTGTTTTCCAGGCTCCTGCGGAAACTTGTTGTTAGGACTCACCAGCACCAAGTATTTTACATATCTTGTGGGAGGTTCGACGCTGCATCTGAAATGAACCTTACGTTCGATTAACCGTGTCTGATCAGCAGTTTCAATTATATCGTACTTCAAGATTGTACTTCATATATGATGACTCAGCCCTGAACATTGCAGATTGGTATAACTTAATCCAGAGCATGGGATTTGATCGATTTTATTCCTTTTCGGAATATAATGCTACTAATTTTTTATCAGTAGGTAGATTTGGAAGTTTCGGTTGCGGAATTTCTCCTGCCGTCAGCTATCATGTGCTGTAAATTATAGAGACCGCGTACAAATGTTGTGGGTCGTCACCCTTACCAGGTTTTTCGGTTCATGTTTGTTTCTCCCAAAAGTTTGATGTCCAGCACTGACTTCTGTGGATCCTCTGACTAACTGAATAAGTTAGTAAGGTTGCTCACTACATCTTGAGCCACCCCAAGCCAAATAATGTTAAATCATGTAGTTATTGGAATCTGGTGAAATTCCTTTATCTCGTCCATTATCTACGACCATGTGACAACAACTTTGTTTTGATGTATTGTTTTGACCAATTTTTCCGAGATAACGCCGACGATAGATGTGGTTCGCGTTTTCGACCAACGTTGACAGAGATTGAAGAGCTCGCTAGGACGTGCGCATCACATGGTTTACGAACTTATCAGCACCTGAACACATTAATTAGTGGTGCTTATGTTTTTTCGGTAACACACTATAGATGTTGCGTTATCTTTTTCGTCTACCCACGCACCCCACATTTCCTGTTTTTTGAATGCATAACCTACATTCGGTCTTCATTTTGTGACTTTACCGATTTAGCACTTCCTTCCCTATCCAAAGGCTAACGAATGGTTCAAGTTATTATCTGGCTTAACTATTTGGTCCTTAGCATTTCCTGTTTTTAGTCTGTCGCTTCATCTCCGCTCATAAAACGATGAATGCCATTAGCTAGTCGCGGTTATTTTACGTCATTCATTGGTTTGGCCTTCTAGGCTGCTTTAGTGAAACTGTGTCTTACATGTGAGTTGCGATGATTACATCCTCCTGTAGCCTCTCGTTTCAATTGCTACTTCGAACGCTGGAAACTATGGCCAGAATCCAGCACGCCGCGTTGCTACCTGCGGCCTCTCGCATTGTGAATTGGACGTAGAATCGGCCGATTCCGGACGCGGACCAAGCGAAGATGACCCTAGTCAACATCTCGGCGGACCAAATGCTCCACCACTGTTTCATTTTTATCCCGCGTTTCACCTTACTTCCCACCCACGTCAAGTTAACGTCAATGGTTATGGAAAGCTCGATGGGACTCCCGGTTCCTCCGCCCACACAGCAATGGTAGATGGCACAGTTTCCGGACCGATTCATTTAAATTTGAAGAACGATGCGTCCTCCGTAGGTGGGGCTGAACCACCAGACGAATGGGGGTCATCTGAAAGGCGCCGACTGAAATGTTAGCCCTCCGTAACGCTCATATATTTGTTCGTGCTGGCGTACCTTTTATCTGTACATTGTACCTAAACTGCCCTTATTGATTTCAACAATATCAAACGCGTTTTCCAATCTCACTTTGATCATTTATTTCACGAATGTAGTTGATGAGAGGATACAGGATGGTCTCTGCATGGCCTGTTCTGTCCTCTAATGTTCAGAAAGTCTTCCCGAACAAGGTGGACGACTTAAACTCTCTCGTTATACTAAATAGGAATTTGTTTGCCATAAATAAAGTCCGGGCACGATGAAAACGTACGAGTCGAGCAACCGAAGGGACGTTCGGCCTAAAGGTGATCAGTATGCTTCCACTACTCTGGCCATCACCTCTCTGGTTCAGGTGAAGTTAGAAATTATTGGCGAACCAAACCCATCTATATTTAGTCGCTCCGAGCTTTCTCATAAAATGGCCACCCTAACAGCAACGAACAGTGATCACTCGCTGAAAACTCCGGAAACAATGACGCACTAGAATCCGTGTAACCCTGTGATTATCGTCAGCTGCTGACAGATTCACAAAATAAACGGTTGTATCCAAAACAGTCATGGAATTTATCATTTATTTATCAACTCTTAGTTCAATTGCAAGCTCATTTTGACAAATACTAAGGACCCTTAATTCTTGCTGAATCGACAGCCGGGTGCGCTTGATTTTGTAGTGTTTTTATCAGAAATGGACAAAATGAGTTTAACAACTATACAAGTGAAACTTCTTCGGAGGCAAGAAGGCAACTGCCCCCCACGAGTTATCCAATATCTGGAGAGGGAGACCATTATTGACTCTCCTGAGTTTTGTTCCAGTAGGGACGATTTGAGCCCGAAGAGGGTTTGTGCACCCCGCTTCCCATAGAACACTACAATAAAAGCGTTTTAAACGTTGGACGGTTGATCAACGTATGTGCGAGAAATAAGCCAACAAACTGACGACTACTAGAGACGACGTTAAAATAAGTGAATTATTTAATCAATTTTAGTTCCAGAATCCTTGATTAGAGTTGAAATTGCCTTCACACTGGATAGACATTATCCAAATTGAGTAGGTGTGTTGGCTACTCGATTCACACATTAGTGATTACTTGTGCTTCAGTCACTGGTTTTGATTAACAGTATCCTGAACACACCTTTCTGTCACAAGCGCACCGCGGTCAACTAATTTGCTGCTACAAAGGCAGTGGTGATCAAATGCCTACATACAGACAACAAGTGATTAGTCTTCCCAACATTGTACGACCGTAGTCTAATCAGAATACATCTTCAGAAGTTGAGTGAGGTTTGTTTTGAAAAAAAAAATATTGGAAGTGACTAAACTTGGGATGCAAGCTGAGCCCCGAGCGCCGTTTTTTGGGCAACCGTTCGGAGTTCTGGAGGCTATCGTCTCCAGTTACTACTGATTTCAGGCAAAGAAGATTCCGGTTTTTTGAAACGCTAGATAAGAAGGAGCCACAGGGCACAAACGATGAAGTTTTGGCCGCCATGTTAAGCAGGCAGTTTGTTTTCGGATAACAATCGAAAATTGTGTTTCAAATGAGAGTTGCACTGTCCAGCAGCAAAGTCTGTCGAAGACTACTAGGACACTTTGTTTAAGAAAATAAATTCCGGAGAATGTCACTGCTTGCACAGTTTTCCAATGATCCTTTATGCTGTTGGGTCTAACACATTTAATGAGAAAAGGTTACACCATCAGGGAGGCTAAAATTGTTCTTCCTCATAGTGACCTCCTTTCACGGGCTTACTATTAATTACGATACTAGTCACGCGTGGAAATTAGCTCGCATATTCGGATCTGTAGAACAGTTTTATTGCCGCAAAACAAAGGTTCCCAAATGTGCACTCACATCTGAAATTGTGAGATTTTTGGCCACATCACATAACACCGGGTGACCACGACTGGAAATCTCGGGTAGGCAGCAAATGTTGAAGACACAAAAACAAAACGTAGCTCAGAGGGAGGTTGTGTGTTGCACATTCTGTGAAAGAATATCAGTGTGTTATTGGCCACGAGGGGACACATGGTGTCTACGGTTCTAGCATTTTCATCGCGCATATGAACTTTAAAGTAACTAGTCAACCAACTTGTTATTCAAGTCAGGGAACTCTCCTCGGCCTTTCCCCGTAAACACAAACAGTACACCACCTTCATCTGACCGAAAATTTTTTGAGAACATAACGATGGGAATTATTATCATTAAGTTCACGTTCCCCTCTGAATAAGTGGGCATACCGGCCAGTATAATCCATGTCATTGTCACTTACTGCTTGTGGCGTGAAACTTATGAAGTTGTCATTGGTGTCAGTTGAATCGATTCAGACACAATGCAGTTGGGTTACGCAAGGTACCAGTGTAAGAAATGGACTTCCAATGGTGACTTCGCACCTGGGGACAGTTAATGTCATTCCGTATATTGATAGGTGATAGTACTGGTGGTAGTGATAGAGGTGATAGAAGACTAATGTGGAACTATGGAAAGTACTGTCACTGTTCTTCTCAACCCCACTTGAATCGATATTCGTATAACTGGAAAACATGACTAATCCTAGATGATCGTTTTATCCTAAGGCGACTGTATAATAAGGCGGCGGAGTCGGTTTCAGCGGCGCATCGTGAATTGCCAGCTCTGTCTTTGAGCCCCCACACTGCTCCTTTCCCGAGATGAGCACAATTAGTTGCATGCAGATCTGTCATTTGCCTTTCTACATAGAACAGAAGGTGACAGAGAACAGTCGGTGCTGGGGTAAAACCTTGTATGGACCAACGTTGTAAAAGCTGAACAGATAAAAACAGCTGGAGAGCCTGTGAGAAACTTACGGTGTTGATTTCATGGTCAACACCCTGATCAGCTGCACCTTCGTGAACCAAAAAGTCAAAATCCAACAGGAAATGCATGACGGTGCTTTGAAATTTGTGATAGATAATCCAGTGGATATTTTAATTTAGCATTAATGAGGTGCGCAGCAGATCTGGTTGGATGTTTACAACTTCTATTTTGATGTTCTACCTAAAGGAGAGGTGTATGTAGTTATATGCATAAAGAGGTCTGGTGTGTATATGGGTGAAAAGCTTTTCCGTAGTACGTGGTATTGTAGAGAATTAACTCAGCTTCATTATTTCGTGAATAGAGGGAATGGCACCAGATAGCTCAGAAAAAAAGGGTCTGTGAAAGAGATAAATATATTTTCAACAAGCAAGAGTTAACGAATGAAGGTAAGTGAGGAAAATTAACGACGTTTCTCCCATATCCATACCAGAAACAGAATAATTTCTGGACAAGAGGGCATGAAGAGGGCTACATCATATTCATAAAGCCTCTGATAGCTGAAGTGTAATATTCAAAATCAGTTGACAAACATTATACAATCAACCGGAGAAATATCTACTGCCTAAACAAAGTGAGAGAAACAAATAGCCATGTCATTTAGCGTTTTTTATCTTATGGTGAGTAGAGTATGGATGAATTCACACTACTGTTTAATGACACTGGGAGTAAACTACCTGTTGGGAGTGTCTCTCTTCTGAGTGTCGGCAACGGTTGTTGCGATACTCGTGGTCATATGGCACAGATGCTCATTTAGAAGAAGTGCTGTGTCCTGCAGAAACACCCTGCCTACGCTTAGTAAATGTCAGACTCTTCGTCAGGACCGTCGGATGTTGGGATCATCTATCTGAGTGTTCACCCCCAATGAATTTTCCAACGAAATTCACTCATACACTAAACCTAGCAAAACAAATTCTGTGTGACATTGGTTTGTTACTGAACGTATGTTCTAAATAGCAGCATTTCAAAAGTCACAAAGAATGAAGTGTCTCTTCTGGAGGGTTGGAAAGACGCAAATTCATTTCTGATATATTCTCACTTGATGCTAATAAATAAGCTTAATGTAAACACATTGGCTGTTGCTGCCTATCCGGACAAATAGTCACAAAAAACTCAGATAATGGGACATCCCTCACTTAGAGACATTCGAGTGCTTCTCTCCGGAGTGTGTAATTGGAAATGCGATCCGGTTCCATGGTCCTCACATGGGCTAGCTGACCCAGCTAGCCACGAATCATTATATTTCTCACCGCATAAATTTCGTTTTCCAAAACATTTTGAAATTCATGATCATGATCTTCCACACATAAGACCTCGTTGTGTAACGGTGGATGCTACTGATGAGACATGCGAGTAGTATGTGATTTATCGTAAATCCGTTTTGCGTCTAGTGATTTATTATAGAATTTTTGGAATTGTTTTGTAGCATTCATTTACGTTTGAGCGATTGTCAGTGAGTATACAGGAAAGTTCAGGAAGACGGGTTCGAGAAGAAGACGCATACGCATTTCTTTATAAAACACCATGCATATGAGAGTCTCGCTTCTCTGTCCAATGTAACTGTTCAGTTGCTGGTCCCTAACTAATAACTCCGCATTGAAGACTTCCTTTCATTCAGCGGTATGATGTCAGTTTACCTTACAGACCTAGTTTTCTTGTGAGAATGTGAGTATTTGACGTCGTGGTATACCTAGTGCTGTTTGCGTCCAGTTGTTCGTTGTTCCAAACATGTTTTTCAATTCGTCCATAGGCCATACCAGGCACCGCTACTAATGAGTTCAAATCCTTGACAATCGCTTGGTCGGTGGTGTGTGCTGGTGTCAGTGAACGGTCACTTGTAGCCTATTGGTGGCTTCACACCAATGTAATTCCAGCCTAATCCAAGAAACCATGCAAAACCTGTTTTATTTTTGTACGCTGCAAATGAAGAATCCTGTTGTATTAGATTTCTCCGTGAAAAAATGGTTGAACGGTTGAACAAAACGAGATCACTCTTGGTCAACAGCAGAAGAAGTGAGTTAGCCAAATACAATACAAAATCTTGTCCAAAATACATTATATCCGGTAACCTCGTCTAGTTTTGGGCAACTGGATTTGGGTCGCTTTTCTGCCATGGATCCAAAAGGACGCTGGTGAACAAGTTAGCCACAATGGAAATATTAAATGCTGTGTTGCGTTCGAATCAGGTAAGTGGGACGAGTAAAACTGAGACTAAATGGCGCCATAACAATAAAAGTA